ACGGGAAATGGTAACGAGACGTCTTTTCACATTCATTTCCGTAATTTTAATCTGTCGCAGCTGTCGATCGGTAAACAAGACGTCGCATACTTTCTTTCGATTACGAATGGCAGCTAAGCTAAAAGGTGCAGGCATAAAAGTCATCGATTTCCAAACACGGAAGGTCTTGACAAATCGAATCTTCACGAATGCAAAGAAATAACAAAAAGAGAATATGTTGCTCAACGTCTTCATCACGTTCATCAATTAATCCTGAAAATCGCGACATTGCCAAACATGCCAAATTCCTCATGCTCATGCTGCTTTTACACTCTAATTTAATTTCGCAACAGTTATTCTCGCTCTTCTATAATTTCGCTCGCACTATCACATTTCCAAATTTTTTTTTCACTTTCTCTCTTTCTTCTTGCCTCTCTCATTTTCTCATATACACGAATAACGGCTTGCGTGCATCGCTGCCAGTCGACGAGGCAGACAAATGCCGAGTCAAAGTTTATCTTTGGAGTTTCGCCATCGAGCGAAAGACAAATAGTCTTCCTGTGAGAACCGATAAAGTGGTTGCAGGACGAGACGTATGTATATGTATACCCTTTCATGGAGAATGAAATGGGAAGCTCTGAACAGAACGTTGACCGACCGACAAATTGTGCATTTTGTAGTCAATGGCAAATATAGAAAAAAAGCTACAGGATGAAAATAAAAGAGGACGATAAACGAAACAAAAGCCATTCCGACGAATTTAAATAAGAAAAAAACTCAGAGGATAGTAGCGTAGGAACGAGTGCTGTTAATCCTGTATTACTCATGTGGTTTTTTTTTAACTTACAATAATTGCTCGCGTGGAGTTTCTGACATCCCAATATTATATTTCTATTGTTCTCGTTAATAATTTATAATTAAATAAAGATTAATAATATTCTATACATTCTTTTGAGATAAAGATAAATATAGATATTTTTTTTAATTGTGAAATACTTAGACGTCATATTTTATACGAAGGACGTCTTCTGGATGTGTATGTCTTTAGGATGTTCGAAGTCTGTATGAGCAATTTGTACTAAATATAATTGAGTATAAATGACATTCATATTCAAATTTAAGATAAGGGTATCCTATGAATCCCATATGAATAATGAAAGGTTAAAGCGCTCTCTTCTCCACAATAAAGATCCTATATCAGAATTTGGCCGCAAGCCATTTTATCAAAATCTTACGAGAGAAAGATATATATAATTTCCTCCTGTATATATATAC